ATAACAGCACAATATTCATTCATGGGGAAAAACGATAAAGTTACCGCATACAACAGTTTATTCGGCTCACTGTGCCTCTGCTGATAATCAAACGGTCCCTAATTTTATGCTGTGATAGAGAGGAGAATGGACTAAAATATTTGCAATGATAAAAACAACCTACCTACCTTCTTTTTGGATTGCAACATCTGCAAATCAGGATCCAGCCAATTGTTATCGTAACTCCCAAGATCTCTCTGAAATACAAAAGAACAGGAAGAGAAATTCTGAGATATGGTCAAACACTATTAGAAAACATTTCCTGCTGAATAAAAACAAGCAGTACTTGGTAAAGACAACTTTATTTTTTTGCTTCAAACAAGGTATCTATTCATAGAATTCTTATGAGAACGGTTGAGACCAGGACATGTATGTGAAATTGCCCCTCGCGGGATAAATAAAGGATTTTTTAAATTTTTGAATTTGTCCTATCTATTAGCATATTCACACACATCCCCAAAACAGTAGACTCCGTCTTCTTGTTTACTATCTTGCATTTTATTCACTAGTCGGAGGTAACAGTCGTAGTAGTATTTGTGGGAATTATAAAGTCTGAAGGACCAATTTTGGCTTTGACCAATTTTAACGTGACAGGTGACCAAAGGAAGCAAGTGTATGTTGAAATCAAATTCGTAAATTAATATCTAATATCTCACAACATAGGTTTGAGATATCAAATTGTAGGTCCAATTCCTCAAAACATAAGTCTAATTTATTCAAATGCAAGCCTAAATTTTTTAACAAAACATCCTCTCTGAATTTGCTCCAAAATAACATGTCAAATTGTTATAGATCAAAGCAAGCCAAGCATAGATGGTCTTTATCTGCATTTTATAACAATTAGAATGTATGGGTCTTGCGCGGACAAGATGTAGATGGTTGACCGCGTACATACTTACGCGGGGTACTGAAACTTGTAAAACATAAAATAAATCTGTATCAGCAACATAAACAACTTGGTAGGCAGCTTTACACTTAATACATCTTTTTACAATTATGCTTAATTAAAAGTTTGGTGTCCATACAATCGCTACACTATCGCTACAGTGTTTTCAGTGCAATCGTTGTACTGCGTAGCAGTCTCCGACAAAACAGGGAAGGCTTCCCGATTTGACCGACCAATCAGCATCACCGAAAGCTGTTGGTGGCAGCATGTAGCAATTGTATGGAAACCAAGCTTATGAATGATATATCAAAACTCCTCACTCACCGTCCTTCTTCGAATCGAAGAGGATTAATAATTTCTTCTTGAAAATAGTGCACTATTTGTAAGATAAGAACCAGAAGACTAAAACACGAGATGCCCAGGTGAAACAGCGCAGCTATTTTCCACAATGAATTCTCTGAAATATAAAAAAATATCCCCCCAAAAAACATACATTAACAGTTGGTATAACAGACTCATGTTCTGCATGTCTAAACAATTTAATGCTGTAGTGATTTCTACACCTTTCAGGGGCAGATATAGGGCTGCCATCTTTTTTTTTTTTTTAAATGTAAACAATGATAATAGAGATGAGAGAGCATACCAGCTCATCTCTCGGTGGACAACCTCCGCGGCCTGGTGCACACCTGTTGTAAGGACTACCCATTGTCGATCAAAGGACAACTGGAGTAACAGCTAGCTCATTGTTGTAAACAAGGATTGAGTTTCAAGCCAAAACGTAGAAGCAAGTATTGTTTGCTATTTTACAGCTAAAAACCCATAAATGATTTTTTTTTTTCATTGCAATTTATTGTTACAAATTACTGTTATAGTTCTAATTCTATTGTTATTCATTCTTAGGTCAATTGAAAAAAAATAAATAAAATCATAAATATTCTATCATTGTATGACTACGCCAAAACTGCCGCATTAAGGGACAATTTTACAGTTTTTTGGTACAGAATTTGTCCCCAGTAAGGGTTTTAATGTATTATCTTCAATATTAAATAATGTATTCCAATGCACTTACCTACAACATCTGGCATCCACACAATGCACGCACAGAGACAGGCGGGAATAGCATAATATGGCTGAAATGTATTTGTTAAAAAATACTAAAGTATATAAATATTACAGTTTAAAGGAATAATGCCAGGCACTCACTACATACGACAGTCGTTGGCCAATGCAATTCTATACAGAATACAAACACTACGACGATATGTTAGACTGCTATCGACAACCAGCAGACGCTGTTGCGTCGTTTTGCGCTCACAGGGAGCGGAGCTGGATTTTTTGCACGACGGTCGTCCAACGCAGTGAGTACCCCGCCCAGCCTGACCCCGCCTTAAGAGTATGTTTGTATGCTATCAGCTGGTAACAATTTTTAGTTGAGGGGTGAGTGCTTGTTAAATTTACTATAAAAGGGATAGCCAATTCTTTTGGTGGAATTAAAACATCCTTTGTTGGCATATTTAAACATGTATATATGACTATTTTATCTTGTGAATTTTGAAACAGTGCCATCAACGTCTGAAGACTCAAAACTTTTCACTGGAGTGACATCAAAATTACAACCTCTGCTAATTACTGTATACTGTATGTAAATATAGAATAATACTTTATGACATTCCTTGTGTCTACCATTCAATCAATGACACTATCCACAATACTACATCTTGATATTGAATCACGGATGAAAAAAAATATTTTTAAAAATTCTAAAAATTATGAATTTTTATTTTTTTAAATGTATTTACAAGCATTTGAACCCCCACCCAGGATAGTGTTGTTATTCCATCGTTCCCCCGCCCCATTTTAGATATCTCTGGATCTTCCTCCGCTTTTATGATATGATTAATGAACATAAAGATAATAATTATCATAAATAAGAGTAAAGTCATACTTACTACCCACAAATATGGATCAGGGTCATTGAACTACAAAACAAAATTATCACACATTAAAAATATCAAATATGAGAACATACAGTACACTCAACAGTGACACATTAACAATCACTAATGGGCCATTCAGGCTGAATTACACAAGATCGTGCGATAAATCCATTAAAATATAGAGGGCAATTACAAAAACATCATGCAACTCAATCAAACACTTCACTATACTTTTAGACTGGCTGGAAACATCTAAATTAAACACTTAATACAAATTGTTCATGTCTTCTTTGTTTAAACACATTTATTCTGTGTAGTCTCTTTGGTAAACATTAAACAAAATTGGTTGCTAAAGTACCATTCATGACCACAATGATGTAGAGAGTTAAATTGATGTTTTTTCACATATTAATAACATATTTGAGGGTATTAACAGACTTGAGGGTAATATCTTCCCCAGCTGTCTCAATTCAGATTTTTTTTAGCCAGCACTTTCATATTTTTTAACTGATTTTCTTTAAAAAAAACAAAAAAAAAAACGTGTTAAAATGCTCAGGACAATAAACCAATTTATAAGTCCTGTACATTTGGTATTTGTATTATCAACTATATAGCCAATGATTATTTGGTGTATTTTAACCTAAATATGTGTCAGGTAATTTAATTGGGATTATTCACAATCTAGCCTCATACAACAGCCTATGACTGACCTAGCTAAATATATATCATTCAGAATATTTATTGTGTAAATTTGTGGGCTAATTATCAGTGTAAATTAATTAATTCCTTATAAGAGTATGTTACATTCTCCTTCTCGAGTCACTACGTAGCTAGTGTGTATGATCTTGCTTATGTAGTGTGGTAGAATGATTTGCAGGTAGGATACCTAACATGGGCCGCAACGTAAACGCGCATTGTGGCCAGACAGGGACTGAAATAGACCAGAATAATGGGTACCACAACTCTTCTCAAAGGATGTCTGAGTCCAGTGCACACAAACCAATAGCGTACACTGCACCTACGGTTTAGAGTCCTTATCCAAAAAGACTTGTTCCACCACAGGAACTACAGACAAGCGTGCCGTTCGAACCAACACCGATATTGACATATGGCTGTATGTCAAGTTTCTCCTGTCTTAACCATTCAGTCATCAACTCACCATATATGCTACAATAATGCATTGAGGTTAATACTAAGTAAACCAATGTCAAGCAGTGCTAGAACCATATTTGTTTCATGCATGTATGTTATTCTCTTTTGGCGAATTTATAAAATTGGTGTACGACTTTATGTTAAGGATTTCTGCATCAGAAAACTCTCTTGTTCAGGTATTGCCAATTCTATATTGAACTGGCATTTCCTATTGCATATGACTGGAAATTTGAAATGGTATCTGTACATTTTATCTTTCTTTATATTTGTATTTGTTATATATATAAGTCCAAAATACACGTTGATTGATTTACTGAAATCATTGATTGAACCATAGAGAAAATAGAACTGTTATATTTTCTCTATGATTGAACAAAGAATAAAAACAGTAAAAACTAAATACCATAATATTCTGTTTACTAGATAAACTGTTGATAACAGATACTTACTTGCACTATTGAACATAAAAAAAAGAACAAGGACATAATTGCATTTATTGCCTTCCACATCAATGTTCCATATTGGTGTCTTGGACTTGCTCGTCCAGTTATCAGCTTTTCATTCATTTTTGTTGTAGCTTGGCTGAGTTCTCTTCAAAATTTCATAGCTGTTCTAAAAGAAATAAAAAAATATTTTAAAAAGATTTCACATAAAAAAAAAATAAAAAAAAATAAAAAATCCAAACGGCTCATTCGCCAGTGGTTCCGGTGGGTAGAACAAGTCTTCTCGGATAAAGATTTCTCAAAAAAAAAAACAAAAAAAAAAAAATTCACTGAGTCATTATTAACCCATCATCCCATCCATAACTAAACTATACATAAAAAAAATTTAAAAATAAATGATTATACTCGACTCAGGGAAATGCTTGACAGTTAGGCCCCATAAAAAAAATTATTAGTTTATCACCCGCACCTGCTTTCAAACGGTCCTTTTTCCATCTTTTTTCACCTGAAAAGCTCAGGGTTTCTTGCAAATATGCTTACTGGTACAACAAAAACATATTTTTTAAATATAAATTTGATTCCACTCTTATGACTTTTTATACGTTAGTAAGAAAAATCTTAATATTATGTTGATACTTTTTAAATACATATTCTGGGTTTTTTGTATTTCCAATGATGATGTCCTTATTTTACTAAAATAAAACATTCTGGAGAACATTTATTTTATTAAATATTTCCCCGAAAACATGCAAAAAACTTTCAAATATTAAAAACTATGGTGTAGGTATTATAACATTTATAAAACAATTATTCATTCCTACTAGACCTCTGCTCTGGCCTGCCCTGCTTAGTAGGCCTAATGATGTGTCTTACCGGCGACCTGGCAGATATGTGGTCCTACAGACCCAACCAAGTACTTACTTTTACACGGACTTGCTTGTCTCCACCAGATTGAGAGGGCTACTATTCTACTAAAGATAAGTTAGTACTCACGCCGAATACAGTCTAAAACTCGTACCCATGCAAATCGGACCTCGCAATTACCTGGGACTCTAATTGATTATCTTATTTCCTGTACATTAACGATCTGACACTGTAAACATGCACTTTAGAAATACAGGAGTAGCTCCATGTCAATATAGCCTTCGGATGTTACTGTACATGTTTACAATGGGCGTGTTCGACAGGTTCATTTCGTTGACTACGAATTTTCGTTGAGTATTATTTTTATTCGACTGTTTTCGTATAGACTTCGTTGACAACGAAAATTAACGTAAACCAGAATGCGTTAATCACATGACCCAAGCAAGCATGGCCGATTGGTGAGTTTAGAAACAACATTTGTGAAAATAAATTTTCAGAAAATAAAAATAATTGTAGGCCAACAGAATTCAAAAACTGGATGAAAATATTTTTTTTACTAAAAACCATACTTTGCCACAAGCTGTAGCAATCTTGATCAACGTTCCGCAAACTTTTCACGGCCAATTTACGATATGATGATTGGGGCTAGGGGGCCACCAAGGGCCCAAGGTCGGGGTTCAGGGTTCCGGGGCCATTAAGCTGTAATATTATTGTAAACCAATAAACTGTAATATTATTGCATTAAACTGTAATATTATTAACTAAGACCAAATCAACACATAACATAAACATGTACATATCAAAATTATTATGTTTAATCTTTCCTCGTCGGTGCTTGCATAAAACGTGATTTGGATCTAACATGATAATATTGATAAACAATCGAAATTGTCTGTACAATATTATGCTAAACATTTACAGAGTGGTCTTCCTTGTGTTGTGGTCATATTAGGGTCAGGCTCACTATAATCGTGGAAACCCGGTCGCCCATGGTTCACCAACTTGGAATGACAAAATATAATAATGTGGAAAGTGTTACCAAAATTCAAAAGGCCATAATATATCATAAAAGTGTATCAAATTTCATGGAGTTTTGATAACTAACAACAGAGTTAGGACAATATTTATAGCCATGAGTATGCAAAATTCCTCTGTCCAGATAAAAAATACTGTTTTAGCAAATCTGCCATTCAAAAAATGCTGTGTACCACAGGGCTTATAGTTGGAAGGTTGTCGATTTTTACTTACAGCGTCAGTAAATCATAATTATTTGTGTTAATTAATCATGTTTAATTAGTAATTGTAATTAGAAAGTTAATGTACGTTAACCTACGTTACGTTATGAAATATTAATCTATCTCATTTGACACCCAGAACCTCGTGTTTACCAACTTTGTGTTTCCCTTGAATGTTGGTCCTACGCCCATCATTAAAGTGAAGCAATTTGGTAAGTATTTATTATAGGTTGTGTCTCGACTATATTTAGTCAATAAAATAGTTGATATTTGTAATTAAATTTTAAATTGAAAATTTCAGGAAATAGCTTAGGCCTAGTTGAAAGGAATACAACTTTGTGAAAAGTAACATGTTAAATACACGGTAACGTATGTTAATTGTTGATATAGCATGTAATAAACATCATTTAATAAAAGCATGGGCAGTGGCTGATATATCTACTTTCGTTTACATATATCCTTGACTCTCTATAGGAATGTTAACATTCATGGAAATTATTCCTATTGCATATATTTCTAATTTATTTAACGAGTAGATAGATAGAAAGTCAATATGGATCAGCCACTGCCCATGCTTTTATTATGTTTATTACATGCTATATCAACAATAACATACGTTACCGTATGTTTAACATATGTTACTTTTCACAACGTAGTATTCCTTTCAACTAGGCCTAAGCTATTGCCTGAAATTTTCATTTTAAAATTAAATTAACTATTTTAATGAACTAAATATAGTCGAGACACAAACTATAATAAATACTTACCAAATTGCTTCACTTTAATGACGGGCGTAGGACCAACATTCTAGGGAAACACAAAATTGGTAAACACGAGGGTCTGGGTGTCAATTGCTCAATGTCCTCTATATTATTTCATTAATATGGATTAATATTCCATAACGTAACGTAGGTTAACGTACATTAACTTTCTAATTACAATTACTAATTAAACATGATTACTTAACACAAATAATGCTTTACTGACGCTGTATCAATGCTTATTACTTAACTACCAGTACTTCTCACGTTTAGTTTGGTTCAAATTCTTGTACTGGTGTATGAAGAAATCAGGTAACGTATGTTACACGCTGCGTAATCAAGGCTGCTTCGGATTGTGGCAGTATGGGTTTTTCGTTAAAAAAATATTTTCATCCGTTTTGAATTGTTATTTTTTTACTTCAATGTGGGTAAATATTATAATTTTTATTTTCTGAAATTTAATTTAAATTACATTAACGCAATTGGTAATATTTGTTTTGGTCACGTGCTAACGCTGATTAACGCATTCTGGTTACGTTAATTTTCGTTGTCAACGAAGTCTATTTTACGAACCAGTCGAATGAAAATAATACTCAAAGAAAATTCGTACTCAACGGAAAGAACCAGTCGAATAAGTCCATTGACATAGCAGAAACTCTAGAGGGCACACTACTGGTAGGCAAATACTGTACAGAGTTCATATATGGAACTCCAGTAGGCAATAGTTCCATAGGGACTCAAGCAGGCAACTGGTATAAGTAGGCAAAGGATTCGGAAAAATTCACAGGAACTTCGGATACTTAAGATTTTGTTTTGTTGTACAAAATATACGGAAGCTATGAAATTCAGATATGACTGGTTACATTAATTAAAATAACAGTCAATCATAAAAAATCAAAGTCAATCATGTTATTTTAATTGATAAAGTCACTGAAAATATTTTACAGTATTAGTGATATTGCATTAGATTTATAGGTAATCGGTCACAAGTTGTTTGCATTAATTCATCTGATAAATCTGATTGTAAAAATTTTTGTATTGGTATCCCGCAAAGGATACTGGACCGCTGCTTTTTAAAATTTATGTAAATGTACGCTGACACCACTCTGCTCTGCATAGCTCATCGGAACCGATAACACTTCAGAATGAATTAAACATAATCTTGACAAAATTGTTAATTAGTTTAAAGAAAATCATCTGACACGTAACATTAAAAAGCCTAAATATATGATTTTTGGAACACAGAATATTTTTTAATTCAATAATGTTACTGTCTCGAGCTATGAAAATAATTTTATTAAAAGTATTGTTTTTTTAAATACTTGGGTGTTAATTGGAGTAAACATATTAAAAGGTTATCTTCAAAAGATTGTTGCCATCTGTTGTATCAGGTATTTTGTAATCTTTTTATTCTTAAGATGTTAGCTAACACTTTGGTTTTACCTATATTTGAATATTGTTCTTGCATAATGTTCAAACGGCTCCATCCAGTTACCTAAAATCCTCAAGTTCTTTTAAACACCTTAGGAAGGACTTTACTTTCTTGTGATATTAGAACCCCACCAATTAACAATTTATTATGAGGATCATTGAAATGGCAAACTCTTAATGACAGATGGAGAGATCAATTATTATTTATAACTTTTAAATGCCTTCAAAGACTTGCACCTTCCTATTTAATTAATTTTTGCTTTTCTTAACAATGAAAACAAAAATCGAAGTCAGACAAATAAGCATCTTTTAGTTCCGCAATGGAACATATGTCAAGGAAAACGGACATTTCATTATCAGGCATTCATAAACTGGTCTATTTTTAATAGTTAATAGTCCTTTTGTTTAATTTTCCTATCTCTGTTGTATTTTTATGTTTTTAACTGGACCACAACAAAAACCAGTGTCTTTGCATTGATTGTGCCATCCAGTATAAAGAAAGCTTAATAAGTAGCCTATATTAGGAATCGATAAAAAATATAGATATAAATTATATTTTTTCATTTTTAGCTAATTATTGAAATTATGGGGAAATCGTCGCAAATATTGCAATAGCTGAGAAACATGCTGAATTGTTAACTTTTGAGGTTTCCTTGATGGGGATTCTTAATAATATATCCATTCCATTTTCCCTGGCATAATACAACTTTTCTCTAAACTATTTACATAGGCATATCTATTAACTTCTCATAAAACTTTAACAAGAAGATATTGAACAATATAAACTAGGCCTATTAAGTCATTAAAAACACAAATACAATTGCCTTATCTCTAACCTTGTAACATTTTATTTCAATTTATTCACAAAAAAAATTCACATTTGCAGAAATATGTGTTCATTTACAATTTTCAGACTAAAATCATTATATAAAACATCTATAAGACAAAAAACGTGTAGGCCAACACATTTTAATTAGATAAAATATTCAAAATACAGAGGAAATTAAATGAAAATAAGACAACATTAAAATGCAAAATATAACATATTTTTAAAAAAAATTACGCAAAACGTTAATTAAGCACAGGGCTGCCAACTCGAAAGATTAAACTGCCAGTGATACCAAATACGTTGGTTGTAAAAAGAGAGATCTGGGTATTCTGTGTAACTCCTAGTTTTAACAAAGATGGGATTGCAATCGTGTCAGGGGCAGATCCAGAGATGTTCAAAGGGGGAGGGGGCGAGAGTTGGGCCAATCGAGACAACAGTGGTCTAGGGGATCCGAAGCATGCCCCCCGAAATTTTTGTGTTCTAGACGCCCGAAAATAACGTTTTAGGCGTTCTGGGCTATCATTTTTTTTCTTTTTCTTTCTTTTTTTTTTCTACCTCCCAAAAGGGGAGGGGGTGGGGTGGCGGGGCCGTCCCCTCCCTAAATCTACCCCTGCGGGAGGTCTATGGTGCCAATTGTCAATAATTAATGACAAGATTATCAGCATAACCAGTTTTATCCCCTTTATATTTTATACCCTTTATATAAACAATTCAATCATGCAATTGCTATTTGATGACCCTCTTTAGAGATTTAGAGTGATGTGCCAAGCCCATTTAGTGATAACATCTTCATAATTTAGCAAAGGTGGCGATATCGGTCGCAGCAACACAAGCAGGTTTCTCCTTCGGAGTGGGTGCCACATGAGCCTAAATTTTTTCTAGATTTACATATTAATTGAATTTCCGATAGAATGTATTGTGTATTTAAGAAAAATCCCTTAGAAATTAGAAAAACGAATACAGCTGTACTTCAATATGTGAGGGGTTTTCTGGAAATTTGCAAATAGAATGACTCAAGTATTCAGTTCCACTTTTCAGGTAAATATTGTTTTAATAAAAATTAATCTGGAATAGAAAGTGGATTAACATGCATGTTGATTTATAGTTAAACATATGTAAACCTAAACTAAGCGACTACACATAGATATAGCAAATTCATGTTAGTATTATCATCCTGACTACTATTGATTCTTATACTGATTACAATTTCATTATTATATTACGAACTAAATAGGCGAAAAAAAAAATCAAAAGAGAGTAATATAAACAATACACATATTTCAAATATATTGAAGATAAAGAATAAGGAAAATATACATTAAAAATAGCTTAGTAAGTTCAAGCAAACAAATTACAGTCCAATGAGACTATATGAATATGAATTGACATTATATCACGACTTACGCTGGGAACGGACCAAAGTGGTTAACAGTGATTATGTTGCATAAATAAGCAGATTATTGTTTTTTTCTTTATGTTTTATTATTTTCTTTCATATAAAAAATAAAAACAGAAAAAAGCAAGAATACAAATATTTGTCAGTGACCAGAAAAATAAAAATCAAACTTAATTGCTGTATTATTTCACCAACAAGGGTAATCACCATGACCTTCATAAGACTTCATGTCCATTATCTTGTTCCTCTGAGAATAATACTGTAAAACCTAAATTGTCGAAAAAGAAAATAAGATTTTCAATCTAATTTCAATCTAAACATTTCTCTTTTATGCATTTAAGAGAGTTAATTATTTTTTTAAATTTTATGTGATTGCACTTTTGAATAAGTAACCATGCTAAAGTAGAACACCATATTCAACTGGTGGTTGGTCCACGTTTGGACAAAGGAGTAGAGAACTGCAAGACGTCCGGCTCTATTGCTTTCGTTGGAACGTAATCCTATTTCAAAAGTACTGCCACGAAGGGGCGTGTCCTTAAAAGACGAGTTTCAAGAGAACTCTATTGAAATCTAATATAATATGTTGTGGTACAGTAGTTAGTTTTTATTGATCCATTGCCTGCATACAAAATCAGGGCAGTCGGACCACTTTCAATTTTTTATTCTTTTGGACATAATAACCTGTAGAGATTGAAATTAGCTAACCTTAATGACTGACATAATTTTACTGCTTCATCAATGGCATTTATGTGTGTGGCTCTTCCAAAGCTAAATCCAAATTAGGTAGCGATGTATCATCACACTGTGATTCCAACTTAGGTGGCGCTGAAGTATCAACGCCACTATCCTGACCACCAAAATCATCATAATTAACCATGTTTATCATAGTGGACTGCTCATGCTTCTTGTTCTTTCGAGAATAGAAACTAAATTATCGAAATAAAAAAAAACTATGTCATAATATAAAGAAAATGTCATAAAATGTTTATAATAGGCCTACATCCATAATATACAAGGGAGTTCAATGTTATTAACAACTCCTTGGTTAAACTGTAGGTCTAATTGTTTTTACTGTTGTTTGTATTTATCCATAAGCACCCTCCACATTTTCTACAAATATAAACATTAAACATTCTCGTTAAAGCAATAGCACCACATTTCATTTTTTAAAGCTCTGCAATATGCAAAATATTTTTTTTTTTTATTAAGAGGCTATTGGAATACAGGATGGGAAAACTAATTGTTACTTCATTCTGCAGTAAACTAATCTGTAACTTTTCTACTGTAATTGCAAACTGTCATTCTCAAAATATTTGCTTAAAGCAAAGTAATAACAATAATAATACACCTGTAATAAAGGAGATTGGCATGCAAAAAACGACAAAATTATGCTTCCCAGAGAGGTTACAAGCAACAACTTATTTCATGCATAAAGCTATATTTCTATTGACCTACTAAATATGCAAGCATGCGAGAGAACCCAAACAACATTTATAACCAATGTATTTAATTACTGTAGGTTCAAGAATACTCAATTTGCACATGCTTCACTTACAGGACTTGCTGATGTCGCTAGTCCTGGCCAACCTTTGGTGGCATCTAAGTAAAGTAATATTTTCTTACACTTGATGGGTGCTACATGTTGAAAATAATAAGCGTATTAATTAGCTTTTATATAAGATTAAATATTATTGAAATAATAAACTAAAATAAAAGAACTATAAAGGGCAATATTTCTAAAATGAATACAACAAACCAAAAGCAAAAGATGAGTGCTAGGAAAATCACCAGGATTACAACACAGCATACTACTATTATCAGGTTAACAGATACGGATGATGCAATATTACCTTTAAATAGAAAATAAATTAAATCAAATCCAACCAAAAATTATTTTTTCCTTTTAAACTTTAGAAAATAAACAGAATATTTACAAATCAAACTTTTGTTTGTCAGATATTAATAGAGCGTACATTTTACATGTACATTTTATCGTATACCAGGGGTAGCGCCCGGATTTGCCCGACGGGGGCCCGATGTTCCCGACGGGGGGGACGGGGCCTATGTCTCTGACAAAAAAAGTGGGCGTGATTGGGCGTCGCCCACAATCCCCGAAAAACATGGCAATTTCGGGATTTCGAAGGCTTATTTACTCGATTTTAGAGTAATAATATGTAGAAAATATAAATACTTTTTTTTTCTCCCGGATGAATTGTGGTTTTT